AACATAAATGTGAGCCATTACATTCCGGAAAAAAGTCGAACGCAACATAAATCCGCTATAATTCGAACGACACGTGCCCCATTGTACGCGTTAGCGTTTTTCCCCTTCTTCCGAATGATCATTTGCCGCGAACTGTAATTGCCCCCTGGTTGTCTACGTAACGCCGCTGCGTTTTCCAGCCTTCCCTCGCGAGGCTGTGGAAACGCGTTTAATATGCCGATAAATAGTCGTTGCGCAAGCGATTTCGAAAGCTCTGCTCCGGTTTTTTTTCTGCCGCGCGTGGAGATCGCAGACCGGAGTAATGAGCGAAGAAAACCCGTCTCGCGACACGCCCTGCAAGACCAAAGATTACTCTCTAAAAGTCAATCAGTGGATTATCGCTGAAAACAGTCAGTAGTCATTGATTCGCAGTTATAAGAATACCACTAAATATCGCAGTGGTATACTTGCAACTGTATCGGTGACTATTCACTATTTTCAGTGATAATTCACTGATTGGTTTTTAGAAAGTATTGACGATCCGCCTCGCGACACGCCCTGCAAGACGAAAGAGTACTCCCTAAAAGTCAATCAACGGATTATCGCTGAAAACAGTGAATAGTCAATGATTCGCTGAAAATAGCAGTGGTATACTTATAACTGTAAATCAGAGACTATTCACTGTTTTCAGTGATAATTCACCGATTGACTTTTAGAGTATAATGACAGTCGAGGTGCGCCGTTCTTTGCGAGAAATCAATTAGACTTGTAACAATTTCAGCGAATACGTGAACCAAAAATACAATTTTGATACAAACGAGTAATCAGATTTTCAATATTTATAATGACAATCATACATTTACATATTATGCAATATAATAATCAAGCTTTTTAGTCGACATTAACCGGCCAGTGTTTTAATACAGATAATTTATTGCGAAAAATATTACCTCAGCCAGGGTTTGTAAATACTTTTTACTTAATTTATATTAATACTGATAATTTATTGCGAAAAATATTGCAAATCCTGGCTGAGGTAATATTTTTCACAATAAATTATCTGTATTAAAACACCGGCCGGTTAATGTCGACTAAAAAGCTTGATTATTGCTATTTACTACTGGCAACTTAAAGAGATTTCTATATTATGCAATATATTTGTGTATTGCGTGTCGTGGAGTAGATATCAATGTTTTTGAATTCCGATCTTTTTGGAATTCCTAGAATTTACTGGTGCAATTACTCGTGCTATCGTATCTCTGGTGTGTTAAGTCTTATCATATCTCTAGGGGTTAATATTGCTGTAATTTACATCTGCAAAAATCTACTTTTACGATCTAATCCGAGAGCACATGCGTCGTTTCTGCCGCGTCATTTACTGACGTAGCGTTTCTTCATCTTCGATGAGATGCGATTTTTTTTTACAAAATGAAGGATCACGATCGGAAGCACAATTTTTCCAGATCAAAAACAACGAAATTAACTTATCTAACTTCCGGTTGTTTTTCGCAGCTTCCAAAATTAGATCCGATAAGATCAGGAATTTCCTAGCTACCATGTTGCGACGACGATAAAATGTAATTTTCGCACGTGACGCTCAAACAGAAATTGAGCCGCAATAAAGATCATTTCTCGTTTGACATTATCAGTGGCATGATCGTTAGCCTTAGTGCGCATAATGTTTGACATTAAAAGCGATATCTTCTGTTTACTGCATGCGACTTTCATATTCAAAAATATACAGACATTATATAATTAGCCAAAGAAAAGTGTAAAGTACAAAGAGCAGATTTTAAATTAGTAAAACTACTCGGTGTGTTTATGCCGCATATTCTTTTTCTGTACGGAAAATAACTAATTAGTATCCTGGCTGCACTTACGATGATGATACAACGGTAATAATGTCTCGGGAGTCATCAAAGTGAGGGAGGGGCGGTATCGCGATTTTCAATCTAATCGATCTTGCGTCGGGGATTTCCTTTCGTTCGAAATTATACAGAATCAAATATTTCTCACGATTATAAGTACCGGCCTGCATACTTTGCAAATTGAGAATAAAAAAAAGAGGAAATCGAGTAAGTTTTACCGCCGGAGGGAGGAAGAACGGAGAAAAATAATATCACGTATCAATTAACTCTATTATATCGCATATTATAAATTATTCCAAGGCCTCGAATCTACGTCTCTCGTGCGATATCTATATCTCCGGTATTCCTTGAAGGCACGCACGGGAGTTAATTAAAAGTAAGAATTAAAACGCTCACGTGGTGAAGTATTGAGCTGTTCACACGTTCATGTCGATGTTACGTCAACGGTTCTCTGAAAATTGTAGGAATTCACGTTTAACAATATGGATTCACATTTTACTTGAATTAACGCTGGTTCGCGAAAGTCTAATCGAAACAGAAAGCAAATTCCAAAGGACATCAATTAAATATAGAAAGTTTTCAATGCGAAAGAGATGGGCCACCGAAAATTAAAAGGATTTGATTATGTAATTATCGAAAGTTGAAATTTTTGGAAAAATTATTTTTTTACAAATGTATTAATTCGTTACATCGACTGGTATTTTCCTTTACTGAGAGCGTCTCGTGTAACTTTCGAAACCTGATATTTCACGTGCAGTGACCTAATAATCGTAACAAAACGTCGAAAAACAGTAATCAAGCGGTTGCGTTCATAAAATCGTTTACGAAAATACCTTTCTTCCACATACTCAATTAGCTTTTGTGAATTTCCAATATTTCATCATGACTGACACAATTAAAGTTTCATTATAATGTTATCTTTCATCGCCATAATATTCCCATACAGCACGCATGTCTAAAGACATCTTTATATCATCTTTTAGACATACATATCTGAAAGACGACTTAAAGACGTCTTAAAGATGTCTTTTAGATATGCGTACTGTATGGGTTATTTCTCATCGTTTCTCATTGTTAAGGTTTATCTAGATAAACGTCTTTTGATAATAAATACAGTAATTAATAATAAATATAAGTAATTTTAAGCTGTTTCCATATATTTTACGTTCATTCTTACATTCTTAATAAAAAGAGCGAGAAAGTGTCTTAATGCAATAAATCTTTACATCGTTCGATCCACATTGTATTCATATTACTAGATACTATTATCCCAAACAACACGTATGTCTAAAAGACATCTTTAAGACGTCTTAAAGTCGACTTTTAGATATACATATCTACAAGACGACTTAAAGACGTCAAAGATGTCTTTTAGACATGCGTGCTGTATGGGTAAGGAGAATTTTAAATGTACCATAATTTGATTTGTAAATTTCTATTCTTCATGCGTGTGAAAACTTTTGCAATATATGTATACGAAGTAAATATGAGGTATGTGTAGTTCATTGAGTGAATGCGTATCGAATATATTACGAAAATTGTTGGAAGAGTTCAGTTATTTTGAGTACCATTCGAAACTAAAAAGATTCCTGAAAGGAATATTATACATATTGAATATTTCGGAAATGTTAAAAGTCTCTTTTGAATGTTTAGAAAAAGTATTTTTTCTTTCATAATACTTTACGTAGCTGTTTCAATCCATTCTTTATTTTACATGTACAACATCGTGTAATGTAAATAAAATTGGTAACAATTTTATGTTCCATCTCGCGCGGATATTCAAAGGTTTTTAAAAATTTCCCGCATATTTCGACTTGTAAGATCCCTAAAATTTTTAAGAAACTTCGACCTCAAATCATATTCGAAACAATTCGAATTTTTACGGATCAAAGTATTTGGAGAATATCAGAAAAGGACTTTCGAATGTTTCTTTTTAGATTTGTGTTGCACAAATCGATCTTAGCATCGAATTAATTAAATATTCACTACGCGGTTTATCATTCACATTACATTATCGTTGTATGCATTTCCTCAAGGTTCGCGGCGATTTACATAATTAACCCCTACTGACCCAGTATCGACGGCGGTATATCCATGTTATTAAAATCTAGAATATTCGCACCGCAGCAATTCACTGATTATGGCACGATATCACCGCCGGAAAGCATAACTTATTTAACGCATAATTTCTCGATTTCATATCATGACGTTACTTAATTTCAATATCTTTTTGTTTTTAATGTTACTTATATATTTTCGAGCTCTTGTGCACATTATGTACATACATACATGATACAATACACTAGGAATCACTGATGCCTTCCTTGACTTGTGCACATATCGACACATTTATACATTTTGCATATATGTATATACATGGAAAATGTATATGTGTTCTACATGTGCCTAAATTCATACGGGAAGGCATTAGTGATTCCTAGTGTACGTACAAAAAAAGTATTAGGCAATTTCCCAGATGTTTCGCGACACATTTTCTCACACTTCTTGTAATTCTCATGTCTGATACGGGCATTTCCGACCGGTATACGCTAATTTTATTGCAATTGGCAATAATATTACGTCAATATTTATTATTAAGTTAATAACATGCACTGAATCACTCCATACATGTATATGAACGAAGATCTTGAATATTGAACAGTAACTTTAAAACTGAAATATTATTGAAAATCTTGAATATTTCAAAGAGCATAAACGTTTTTGAAGTGAATTATATATATTTCCTTTTATGATACTTTACATTATTATCTCGAACAGCCTTCTTATTTATGCAGACACAGATAACAAATTTATTTTTAGGAATTGTGAATGTTTTAACGTAGATATCCCACCGATCTTGCTCGAGCAGTTCTAAAAAAAGACTTTTCTTACATTCAAAAGATTGTCAAAAGTTTCAGCATTTGCGAGGTTGTCCGAGAAACTTTCAGTTTTGAACAAATCGAAATTTTTACACGACTGATACGTTAAAAAAATTTTGAAAGAGTTTGATTCGTCGCACCCCAGTGAAAAATGGCTCGTCGACTCGACATTGATCAATTAATTTCTCACTGGGACTAAATGTAAACAGTTCCCACAATCCTCGAGAAAAATCAAGGAGCGCTAAGTGAAGAGAATGTCTGTTTCTTGTTGCAGACGCGGAAATGGGTATGGGTGCAGGGGCTGCAGGTGGTCCAGTCCTGACTCTCCCTGGTCCAGGAGTCAACGCCGCCCTTTCGCAAACATGCGCTATATGCAGCGATCGAGCCACGGGGAAGCACTACGGCGCCGCGTCCTGCGATGGCTGCAAAGGTTTCTTCCGCCGGTCCGTTAGAAAGAATCATCAGTACACGTGCAGGTACGCTATTATGTCTTAGCGATACTTTGATGCGCTTGGGGCGCAAAGCGAATGAGGTAGCGAAGCTAACATTCCTGTTTTCTTTTCCTTTTTTTTAGATTTCAAAGGAAGTGCCCGATCGACAGGGACAAGCGAAATCAATGCAGGTACTGCCGACTACGGAAATGCTTCAGAGCTGGCATGAAGAAGGAGGGTGAGTTTTTTTTGCAAAGTCGTCAATTATGCATTGTGAAATTTTGCTCTTAAAAGACACGCGAAAATGGATCTTTGTAGAGCTACTTCGTCTCTTGCTTCCTCCGAATAAAATAGTTAATGCGTGGCAGCACTCGTTCCTTGATTTTACGGACTTTTGGATGCGGAATTTATCTTTACGAGCATGTCTTTGTTACTCTTCTGCCTGAAGAAGAGCTTGCGTCGAGCCTAGGAAAAAATCCTGATAATTTTCGCAGCCGTGCAGAACGAAAGGGACCGGATAAGCTGTCGGCGGCCCAGCAACGAGGACCCGCCTGACAAGAATAAGGGCCCGTCGAAGGAGGACGTGGTGAAGGCGGATGCACGCGCCGAAATGCTCAGCAAGCAAGTTGGCGGGTTAGAGGTGAGCGAGAGCTTGACCCCCGGCTGAATTAAATATTTATAAATTGCGGCTCTCCGCTCGCGTTAAAATTCGACGCACCGCTTAATCGCCGCCGTTTATTTCCGTCAAAATCGTGCGCTTAGCAATTCGTGTCACCATCCGAGCGAGCGTTATAAAATTTATCGACCCCTCTTAGAATTCGACGATGATCGAACCGCTTCATTTCTCATATTGAGAGCGAAGCAATTGTAGGGTAATCGCGTGAAGTGATCTGAAGCTCTCGTGTCTTGCAAACACATGCTAGATGATTGCCAAAAGAATTTTAATTTTTTAAAGATCTTTTTTAACACTTAACATTCCCGAAATTAATCTTTTTGTCAATGTATCTTGTATTTTCTCTCTTTAACTTTGTCGAATCAATTGATTTATGCTTGTAGAAAAGGACATGGAAAATCCCGATATGTTCTGTTTCAGTAATGAAACTCTGTAGAATAGATCATGAACTACAGAAATAGTCTCTTCCATCTCTCCTTTCGACAAATCCTGTAATAATTTTCCCCCTTTAACGCAATATTGGAACGGTTCGTGTAGCTTCAGCAGCCAGACAGTCCAAACGAAATTGATCTGAGCACCAAGCGGATAGCTGGGTTAAACGACGTGTGCGAGAGCATGAAGGAGCAATTGCTGATCTTGATCGAGTGGGCCAAGTGTTTCGACGAGTTCAAAGCGTTGTCGCTGGACGATCAAGTCGCGTTGCTGAGGGCCCACGCGGGCGAGCACCTGTTGCTGGGGGTGGCGAGGCGTAGCAGGAACTTCACGGACGTGCTGCTGCTCGGCAACGACTGCATCATTATGAGGAACTGTCCTGGTACGTAGAGTTCGCGGATCTATCGGGTTGTACGGTTTCCGTAACTCCTAGTTTTCTTCCCCCGAATGGAGCGAGTGGTGTCGAGCGTCGAAAATTCCGTAAAATAAACGTCTATCTTGAGTGTCCGCTCCCGAGAGGAGGTCTCGGCTCCTTAGCATTTTCAGACGTTCGTCTCTTTGGACTCGTCTTCACGAAGATCCATGAATGTCCCTCGACGAAGCTCCGTGAGTCCGACGCCGACCCACGCTCCGTTCACGCTTGTTCCTAACATTTGTACGCCGCGCTTCGCTAAATAACGATATTAAAATGTAACTGGGCAACGTGCGTACGACGCGGGGAACGGAGGAATATATCTGAGGAGTTCTTTGGAATTGGTAACGCTCCTTTTCGGACGACGGTGAATACGCGAGATGAATATTAGGCAAATCCTGACCAGTTTTCTCCTGGCGCGCGTTACGCAATCGACCCGTCTTGTCTCGGATTTTCTATTTATATGTGTGCAGACGATGTGCACAACAATTAATGAATACGTTCGCGAGGAACCTAATAAACATCTAGAAAAGCTTTTATACCCGAGCGAGTTCAATGCGATGAAAGAGATGTTTCTTCTTCTTTAAAATTTTCGTTTCTTCATTGCAGCCCGATTGAACTACGTTATGTCAAAGTAAGTTAATTTTTTCGATAAAATGTATCGAAAATTTCTTTTTCGTTAAATTACATCGTGTCAAAATAGACGAATTCTTTTAAAATATACCGAAAATTTCTTCTGCCACTAGCAAATATATGTACGTTTAAGTCAGTTCGTTGTTTCGTTTAGTTCCAACGAAAATAGATCTCACCTTAATCAGAATTTGCAGTTATTTAACTCAACTTTATTTAATTCACGAATCGGAAAGAAAGGTATATTTTACTAATCCGCATTATCGAAAGTGCATGATGGCATGCGGAGAGATTAATTTATCCCAACGTGTTGCGCAGGAACAGAGTTTCACGTGATCCTTTACATCCAGAAAAATTATGATGTGTGTGTGTGTGCGTGTATGTCAGCTGTGACATCACTGTACGATTCTGGATATAAAAATAGGAGCCTTTTAATGAGCAAAATATTGTTATTTTAAAGAAACATTTTTCTGAATTTACTTTGAGTTGCGTTTTCTTTGCACTTCGAAACTTCAACAAGTCCGAAAGCTTCGAAGAGATTTATGAAGCTTACAGGAGAAAGAAAGAATTCACTTTTTTTTCCTAGTTTTAATAAGTGAAGCGCCTGACAGGATTGGTAAATGCATATAAGCAGCGTTTCTCGCACATGCAAAACGTTTCGAGTACGTTCTAACAGCATGAATATGTAGTTTCTTATCAAGCGAGCGAAGATATCTTGACTAACGTCGACAAAAGCCGTCGATATTAGAGCGACGCGCAAGCGTCAGCATTTTTTGTCCTCGACAGTCGTGTATGTACGGCTGAAAGAGAGCCTCTTCTTCTAAATAGCCGATTCGACGGCGACCTTCACCTTTTTGCTTACGTAATTCCGCCGTCCACATATGCCGCGATTTGTTGCCTGAGCGGCCGCTTATGCGACGCGATATCCTCCAAAATGTTATATCCCCTTTCGTCACGATCCTGTGAGAGACAAAACCGCATTTCAATTTTAACTGGCGATCCCACCGGCGAGTAGAGAATTTTCTTTTAAAATTTATCCTGAAAATATTGTAATCGTGGGGCAACATGGCACTTAAAAAAATTTACTAGTAAAATGTATGGTAAACTTCCAAAAAACTGTCATAAAGTTCTTCAAAATGCCATGGTCCCTTACGGAAAAAACACTCGAGTTTTGAGTGTTAACACTTTTTTTCCGTAAGGGGTGTCCCGCGATTACACGATTTTCAGGGTAAATTTTAAGAGAAAATTCTCTCCCCGTGTAGAGTCTCTCTAATCAGAGTCTGGCCAACAACAGGCTATGACGCATATGCTGTATGTAGAGTGAGAGGGAATATATTTCTTTCTCTCTCGCATCATTTTGTCGAAGCTGGCCTGTTGGCCAGACTCTGATTAGAGGGACTCTAATTTTCTCGAGCGAAAAGCGCCGTCAGAGCTTTCGCTCGTCTGCAAATAGTCTTCTTGTCGATGTATATGTAAAACAGCACGTGTGCCAACGATTTCATAACATTTTAATATTTTATCGATGAATATGTAGGTCTTTCCTCGCATGCCGGATTTATACGGTGAGTCGCGAGATATAAAACTACCTCTCTTGCACACAAGATTTCTCTGCCTCTCGTTTTCCTTATTTATATCCTTCCGAAATACGTTCGGGATTATTTTATGATTAAATCGCCGTTGGAATATGTTCTACATTAGTGTGTAAGTTTTATATAATGCGTTGCAAATATCTGTGTAATTCTAACCGTTTTACATGTTTTCGTGAAATAGAAAGCACGAAAATATGTGCGTTGAATGGAAATTAATTTTGCTCAAACATCTTCAATTTTCTGTCTCGAATCAGACATTTAATTAATTTAAATCTCAATTATCACGACGTATCGCTCTAATTTCTGTAAGTCGGGGTAACTTTGCGAAACAGATGGCGGTCCTCGTAACGCAACATTTCTGATTTTTTTATTCGATATTCGCTATTTTGTTCCACTACGAACACAAGTTGCAATATGTCGATGCATTACGCGATCGACAAGCTCTCTAAAAGTCAATGAATCACTAATGAATCAGTGAAACACGGCCAAAAAATAAATAAATCAAATAAAAACCAATAAATCAGTGAAAGATAAAAATCTTCAAAATGCCATGTTCTACGATTACATAATTTTAAGGATAAATTTTAAGAGAAAATTCTCTGCGTGTACATTCACTAATCAATAAGTAAACTTTTAACTGATTAAATTAGCATATCTTCGTTGATTAATTCAGCATCGAAAGTTCACTGATTTACCAGTTGAATTTAGCTGATTATCAGTGGCATACTTAGGGCTGATTAATCAGTGAATAGTCACTGATTGTCAGTGACTATCCACTGATTCAGATTTAGAGAGTACCACTGAAAATCGCAGTGTATATTATAACAGTGAATTAGTGAGTATTCACTGTTTCCAATGATATCTACTGATTGCTTTTAGAGAGAGAGGAACGTCATTTATCTTGGCGAGCGAATCTCACATTTTACAATGTAAAACATTTTTTATCAGAACGTTATCTCTCTTTGTGATTAACTTTAGTTAATAAAAGAAGGTTTTGGTGGTGAGGGTCAAGCGCGAAGCGACTCGTTCAATTCGAAATCTGTGTAATTATGACAAATGTAAATGCGTGAATAAGGGAATCTTATCATTTTGTCGACAATTACATTTCAACTAGTGACGGAAGATTCGAATTGATATCGTAAATAAGACCCGAATTTGCTGAGTTCGAGTAATTGTCGAATTTATTAATTCGGATTTGAATTATTCACTTTAAGAGATGTAACAAAGAATTATTTGGGCAGAGAGCCTATTTAGATATTTCTGTTTTTTCCGCTGGCGCTGAAAAAGCGTTTCCTACAGCGGAGATTATCAATAGCGGAAGAAGTTATCTATTGTCTGAGCAAGAAAACTAACGAGCATTCTCTTAAAAGTTCCTTCCAAAGTCGAAAAATGCCGAAAAGTTTCAATTTTTATGCTACTCTAAACTTTCAGTGTGTGCTATATTTATTTTATTGAAACTTTCTTCCTGTATATGTAATCACGTGTAATTTCAAATCGTGGCAAATTGCACTTTGCAATTAATTCTCTGCTCAATTGTTTAATTCGAATCCGAATTTGTGGATTGAACTAACCTGTTGTTAAAATGTAAATTATTTCTACAATTGTATGAATTTCAATAATTAGTTAATAATTATTTCAGATATCTCGAATATTTTGTTATCGAAATAAGCATAATTTCCCCGACTTATATATTCGTAGCACCAATTTGTACCGGGGAAATTGTGTGTGGTTCGCTTGTATAATATAATAACGAATCGCAATCGCGCTGGCAATCAACTATTCTAACTGACCGTCTTGTCCGTCGTTGCACGATTACGGGGCTTGGGTGGTTGACTGAGTCCGGAATTTGTGTGCTGTGTGCCATTTTTTAATGCATGTCAATGCATGTAACAGTGATGTTTGGTTTGGCGATATCCAGTGAGAAATGATTTGTCGTCGTCGATTTGACATCGTTTCGACATCGATCGACGAGTCATTTCTCGCTGGGTACCTGTTAAGTTGATGCAGAAGGTCTTTATCCGTCCGTAATTTGCCAAATAAAATTGAAGACAAATATTCAGCGAAGCTCCTCCTTTTATCGAGGGGGGGGGGGATTTTTTCGAGTAATTTCAACCTTCTGCCCTCATCTGGTACGAAGTTTGACGGAAAAGTGACTTTCGCACCGGCTTAGTAATACCTGCGGGACGTAGGTACACTATTTTTCTTTTCCTTTACCACCGGACTCAGTTTCTAAGAGACGAACAAAGGAACAACAGCGTAATCGCATCTATCAGTAATATCGTTGCAATTTATAGAGGGAAACAATCAGCAGGACCTGGACATCAGCAAGGTGGGCGTCAGGATAATGGACGAGCTGGTGAAGCCGTTTCAGAAGATCAAGATCGACGACACGGAATTCGCTTTTCTCAAAGCCATCGTGTTCTTTGACCCGAGTAAGTGTCCCGTTCGAAGGATCGGGTGACGGTCCGCGATTCGCGACGGATTATTCGCGCGGAATCGAGCGGAATAGAGAAACATTGCCGCGTGCAATAGACAATAAACGCGTGCCGTTAATATAGATCGAATGCAATTCGCTCGCAATAATCTCTACGCTCTTGCGATCAATTCGGTCTCGTTGAGGCAATCACGCCTCGCGGTTTCGCCAGGCTTTCATAAACAACGCAAATCATCGCTTATTTATAGATATCAGCGAGACCGAGTGAAAAAATTTATGCGCATCCCAATTGATACGTCGAGATTTAATAAGCCGATTAATTTAATATTTTGTCGCGGTATCTGCATTCGTCGTTTATAGTTTATAATTAATGTGATTTTCGAAATCGAGAATGAATCGAACTACCTCCGGGGTATCCCCGCGATTGGGGACAATCGAGCTTCTTCCCTATAAATTCTCCATTCGTTGCAGACGCGAAAGGATTGAGCGATCAGAAGACGGTCCGGGAGCTGCGCCACAACATCCAGATAAAGCTCGAGAATCACATCAGCGATCACCGCTGCGATCTGCCAGGGCACTTTGGCGATATCTTGCTAATGTTACCGGCTCTGCAGTCGATCTCATGGCAGATGGTTGAGCAGATCCAGTTCGTGAGGCTGTTCGGGGTGGCGCACATCGACAATCTGCTGCAGGAAATATTCCTGGGCGGCACCACGTCGGAGATGAACGGCACCGCCACCCCGCTGCCGATCTCGAACACCGCGCCAGGCAGTTATATGAGCAGCAACGAGAGCCCCAGCAGCCCGCTGACGCCGGCGAACACCGGCAACCTGAGCCCGCAAACCGACCAGATGCCCGTCATGATCCTGAGGGACCTCACGCCGAACCAGGACTTCAGATACTTCAAGCAAGAGCCCAGCCTCGAGCCCGAGACCAGCTTCTGACTAGCTCCGGCAACTGAGCTCACTGTTGGATAGTCAACGACGTTCTGCTCAAAAATTGTTGCTCAATTAATAAAACAGCGCGTATTATGTTAGTCGAATGAAATGTAATCGTTGACATTGGTCCGTAAAATAAAGCGGGGTGGGAGGGAGAGACGAAAGATCGATGCACGCGTTGCAACATGTGAGAGGAGTTAGCGCGAGAGTATCCAGATGTACATGATTATATAACGACGCGGCATGCTGTGGTCGTGTTATCTAGTTGCGACTCACGATTAGCCAAGGCCCGCACCTGTACAGATAACGATTAATTTGCCGACCAAGACGAATGTGATAAGCGATAAGATCGTGTCTTGCCACTATTATTGTTATTATTACTGTTGCGACAGTATTCGGGCCGTTTCCGAAGTCCGGATCAGGACTGGAGGGATAATGCGTGTAATACAACTGTGCAATTAATAATAATAATTATTAGCGACCAATTTGGAACAGGGACTGAAACCGGAGGCAATCTCGGTGAATTCTCGTTGTAAAGAAAAAGAACTCTTATAGCCTGATTGCACCATTTTCATCGCATCTGACCAACAAAGCTCGATTTTCAATTTGCTATTTTACGACATCGAAATTTGAATTCATCGAAATATAATATCGGTTTCAAACCCTTATTTAAAGAATAGATTGTAAGGCCATAACCGACTATTATAGGAAACATCAAGCATTGATGTAACGAGAAATATCTATATTTTTTTCTACTATTCTGCTCAGTCCGAATCGGGTGAATAGCGTCACTGTAGTTCGTGATGTAGTGTAAATAGATGCAGCAATGTATAACAATATGTATAACATTCCAAGAGAGTATGTAGCTGTATCGATGTAAGCGTTATAGATAGTCTTAAAATAACTAATGAGACACGCGCGCTAACGTAATAATTGAGCGCGGGTTCTCTGCAAAATGAAAAGTGCGCCATTGCAATGCAATTTACCGTTAGTAGTGATGAGGGGTACACAGGCGGTTGGCCATTTTATGCATGCGAATGCCGAGCGGTGAGCCGGTCTGCCACAGTGGCCTGTGCCTAATCAAAAAATGGCTAGTGCATCTTATCGCGGTGTTTAGTCTTTAGCGAATTGTCAACACTGACATTATGGCCGGATAGAAAGCAATAGCATAATAATCAGATAACAAGTAAAGTTAATGAGATAGAGAAGTATGATGAGAGTACGAATTATAACGTAATTATAAATGTACATCGATCGCTCGGAAATCTATAATTATGATATGCAAGAACAATTGTAAACTATGAGAACAATCATGTGGAAGTACGACTCGAGACGGATCGGCGAATCGCTTCCATTTCGAAAATATCTAACAGGCCTGATAAGAGTTGGTTTTGATCTAGAAGATTTACGCAACATATGTGCGTAATCGAAATTTGCAAATAATTTTATTTGCGAGTGTTATCTCTTTTTTTCTTATCTAAATTTGACTATAATTTGATTTTCTATCGTTGTAATAATTTTATAAATATACTACATTTGCATTACTATATTCTGTATGGTTCTTCATGACATGTATTCAGTGTCACATGCATATAAACAAAGTTTCACAACACATAACGCTATACAAAAAAAGACATATATTTTAATATAAGTCGTAGATACTGCAAATTAGCTCGGCAAATATATTTTATATTTTTGTACGAAGAGTTTAATAAATATTAACGTTTAATATAAGGTATAAAGTAGCGCAAGAGAAAAGAAAACGCGTACAATTATCATTGTTAATAAAAAATCGATATTCCACTGGAAAGTGTAATATATTAGTGTTTCATCGTATATATATTTACTAAGGTATATAACAATTTTTAGTCATGGGTTGTGAAATAGATATTACCACTTTTTGTTGTACGATTCTTTATATATATATATATCTATATATATATATTGTTGACAGTTCGAATGTGACTGATTCCACATGCAAGATACATATGTATATAAACATATATATATCATTTTTAATTGTTATTTAATAAGTAATAAGTTACACAGATATATTTGTATCTTTAAATAAAGGGATATGTAGTTTCAATGTATAAGACAATAAATTGTATTTAATATTATAATCGCACTTGTTATATCAATCGTATAAAAAAAAATTACATCGCGCAAGTATAAATTATTGTACTTAATATTTGTCCTATCACATCGTGCGTAGCGCACCTTTCAATCTAGCTCGCAGTCCGTACGTTTTCGCTTCCTAAGATTCACGGCGCTCTGTGAAGTTTCGATAACGCTCGAGCCCTTTCTCAACCATTCGTTCAATTGCAGCTTGGCCTTCCTGCCCGTAAAGAACAGGTCTCTCTCTAATCTCGGCAGTAAACCATTGAGCATAGGATCGGAGACAGGATTTTGCGCCCAGTCCATGACTAGTCTAAATCGCGATCTAAAAGTCTGAATGACACAGGATATAATTAAATGTAAGTTAGTTGACGATGGCGCGATGATCCGCCGACGAATAGATCATCCGGCTAGCTTTCCATGTTATAAGAGGCAACTAATAGGGCTTGGAGGAAAAGTAGCCAAAAAGGCAAATCAAAGAGAGGACAAAACACAGGGAAAATAGTAAGACTTAAGAACACCAAGAGTAGAGTAATGGCCAAGATGTCGACGGTGTAAAGGGAGAGACCGACGGTGTAAAGGGAGAGATTGAAAAAAAGTCAGTGGACAAATGGCTTAAGGTTGACACAACCCACTTACCAGTAGCAAACTGTCGATTATCATTTCGCAGTCGCGATTGTTGAACTTCCGCAAATACATTCCCAGCTCGTAATAATACGGATTCCATTTATTCAGTACGACGGTACAGGCGTCTGCTAATAAAATTTCCCTGCGACGCGCACGAGACGCAAGTTAGAAAACTCCCCCCGATGGAAATAAATTCCGCTCTGCACAATACTCAAGCATATATACGCACCTGTAGCCCTCCTTGTACGTCTTGGGTATGTCCACGCTGACTATTGATTCCCTTGCTTTATTCAACGGTTGCGCCAACCATAGTGGAAGCTCCAGCTTCGTACCCGGCGTCAGGTTCTCCGACTCCGAAGAAAGGTCCAGAAAACCTGTGCAACAGGACACAAGGTAGAACGATTAGTACAAGGGTAGACATCTTATTTTCTACATGCAAAACAAATGTGACGTAGGAGTAAGATATCTGACTTCTGTTAAACTGCTGTTCCAGGTCGGCAAACTTTATTATATCGTATACGTTCAAGAGCTTTTTCTGCGAAGAAACACAATTCCATTTCATTGTTTCTCGTTCTCGTTATTATTATATTGAATTAAGGGTTGATAAATTAAGTTTGTTGCTTTAATGCAGAAGGGACGCGATGAAATCTTGATAAGCTTACCCAGGCGAGGCAGCGTGACCTCTACTTTGCACGATACTCGCTCCTCCGTACACAAAATATCTGTCAGCGAAAAGTAATCCGGGGTGTAACTGTAGGAAAGCGTCATCCTTTCTCTTCCAATATCATTTAAAAGGTCCCAAACAGCCCCGAGTCCCGATGGAATTGCATCTGTTGATCAACGATCAGCGCCTCTCGCGAAATAATGGCGCATTTCTTTGATTATTCTGATAAGTGCATTATGGAGTAGCGTGGGGTGATAATGTAGGTGGTACGTCGATAAGTTTACCTACATTCAGACGAGACGCTTCCACGCCGAAATTCATACAATGGCACACTAGATGGAGCTGGCTGGTCAAAAAGGTCACTTTTTTTACTTCATAGAAAGTCGTCTATTATGAGATAGGCTCCTAATATGAGATAACGGAGTTTCTACTAAATTAATAGGCACTGTCTGTTGGTTCCACCATGAATTTATTGCCTTTGGAGTGAAAGAGACTTTGTTTAGTAGAAAATTCATTGTTAGATCGTGATGCGTGTAATCGTGGCGAAAAAAGACTTGTAAAATTGGTAAGGGCTTGGTACACTGGACTTGTAAAGTTGAAGACCCATTGTCTAATATCAGGAGCCTATCTCATAATAGAGGACTTTCCTCTACATTGTATTATATTGTATTATACTTAGAACTCTGGATACTAATGATTGAGGAAGACAATCTGAAAATGTTGTGAGAAATAATTTATGTTACGTAGAATATATATTTACTAATTCAGTTTTATTTTCCATTTCTTATCTCTTGATTCTTTATTATAATAACTGGTTAATCAGGTGAGATAATGAAGTTGGACCGAATATCTTGATTTTTTCTACGTGAGTAATGTAGACAAGCAAATAAATGAATATTTGTACGGTTGTCTTCTGATACTCCGTGCTATAAAAATGCGAATTAGAGGTGACAAATTGTAGCACGTGTTCGCGCAACCGCACTATATCTTCTTCGCAGTGGCGATAAAACAATACAAACTGCTCTAGAGGTATACTTAAGAACAGATAGATTTGACGGAACTCTAATTGGATAATGTCCTCCGATGACTCGATGAATGTCAGCATGGTATGTACGTAAATTTATGCCAGCCGTCAAACCAGATCTGCAATGCTTCACCACGAACTCTCCGAATAAGCTCAAACTGCACGGTGCAGATACTTTAAACTGAATCATGTTTCTGAATAATTTCTTAGTGTTTCTGTAAAAGTAGAGAAACTCGATTTTTATTATCGTTCTCATGTAAACGGTTTGCTTTTATTTGATTGTCCTGGTATTTAATTAATTAATTATACTAAAATAGAACAACAAATATCATTTATAACTGAAGAGTACAGCGCTAGATTTATTATACTTATTACTTTCTACAAAGCTTTGCTCACCGAACTAAGAATCCGAATAACTGAAAGATGGGTATAATACAAAAGTGACATTCGCTACATGAAATGTATATTTATTAGTTTATCTTCCGCTTTCATCCTTGAGAACGTTTCTTTAAATCGTGAATTTGTGTAGAATGATTCAATAACAATAGACCACTTTAATAATTTTCTTACCGATATAAAGAAAAATTAGTGAGTTGCAGGTATGGGGCAACTTTAACGTCTTAATTTCGGTATGATGGATTCTTGCAGACGGATACTTGAAACATTTTGGCCGGTTTTCATAGTCAGAGCTCATATTTAAGACCGCCTTAAAAGTTTATCTTAAGATACTGTATGAAACATTTTATTGGCTACAGCGTGTATCTAAAGACGGTCTTAAATGTAAGATCTGACTATGAATACCGCTCTTTGTTTTATAAACTATTATCTTAGCAATTGTGTATATAAATAAAAAAAGACACAAGTCATTTATTATCTATAATATGCATAAGAAATTTTATCATTTTTATTAGTGCAGTGAAATATCAATTTTAATGAATTTTTATATTTAGTTTCATATTTAGTTATCTATGTTGAAGAACGTAATTTTTTAATGTTCAATTTTCACTCCGCTGCAAGCTAAAGTTGTCTCCGTGACATTGAAACTATTTGTCTTCAATTCTGCCGTGAGACGTAAAATGTGTCTGATTGATGTGTTCGGAGGACACCAAATGTATGCATATCTGCCACTACCAATGTCTGTATATTTTCCGCATAATTCATAACTTAGCGTTATCAAGAAAATTTTATCCAAAGAAAAATGCGATACATCTAAGGAACGTAGCAATCTCTGATTCAAGATAATGTTAACCTATGAAAAAAAGAAATTTAAATATAAAAGATTTCGTAGGATAATTGTGGAATCCATGTATAGAGATCGAGAGATGTGATATGAAAATGTGAGAAAACGCAGCTACACAGAAATATTTAAGAGAATGACATTTTATGAAACTCGCTATGATAAGACTTACTTGTAAAATATTGTGTTCTATCATGAGAAGTAGACGTTTCGTTTCCATACAAAATGTATCACTTGCATAGATAGGGCCAAGTGCTTGTAATGCATTAGCAGCCATGTTTGTTGCAATATCAATACTCTTAAATATCGAGTGGACATCCTCGGGACATTTCTTCATTAATTCTGCCACTCGTTGCATCTGAGCCTCTAGATTTTGCGTCTGTTTTGAATCGACTAGCAGAATCTTCACATTTATTAGTTCAAAAAGTGGAATGTAACGCAATTTCTCTCCAATTTGATGTATTATTGAGCCATACGTGCATGCAGCAACGTCGATCGCTCCAAATTCGTGAAAATACCTTTCGTTGCGCACAGCATACAAAAAGATCTTGTTGAGATCGCTGCTATCGAAATCATCTATTGCACCCTTCTGCAATCTTGACCAACGTAAGAGACATGCCGCTAGACATACTGTGAATGATGCCAGACAGACGGAATCCTCATCTATCAGTAATTGCGTGGACAAATGCACACAGAAAGATTTTATATCAATGTTCTCCTCGTGGGCAATGAAAGTGAGCAAATAAACGAATGATTGTACAATTGCCCTTTGATGCTCTGTGCGAAACGAACAATGAGATTTGATAAATTGCGACACTTGATCATGCAACTCATTATTGTTTTCATTAAACGTGCAATTTCGATAGAAATCTAGAAACTGTCGTAAAGGCATGTTTAAGACTGTGTTGATTTGAAGGAAGTACATTTGAATAATGCCCTCTGAATGCGGTAATTCGGAGAATGTCAACGTGGTACGTAAATTTATGCCAGCCGTCAGACCCTGTTTACCATACTTCACCGCATGCTCGCCAAACAAACTTAACTTATTCGGTGCGGATGTATTAAATTTGATCATTTCTACAAATAATAGTCTGTATTATCAAAAGTATTTTTGCAACGGTAGAATACGGTCCGTATCTTTTATAAATCTTTAGCTTCATAACAAGTGTGAACGTTGGAAAATGAATTTAATTGCAATAGAACTTTGTGTAGATTTTTATTTTACGCGATTGTACTGGCATTCGTAATGGCAGCGAGTAAGAGCGAATTATTGCAATTATTTTCCATGGTGTTACACACAAGCTTGAATCAAATATTATCAATTGCAACGTCATGTGCAAAGCTTTATTATAATGCGTTTCAATTAAAAGATATTAAATGTACATAATTTGAAAATGTCTCGTCACTTACTTGACAAAGTAAATAATCGTGCTTTTATTGAAATACTTCAGATCATGTAATTGAACGATATAATTCTCTATTTAATTTATCACTTCTAACAATGCTCACACAATCAAGAGTGTTCGTAGAGTCACTGACAGACGGTCGAATGCCAAAGGCAATAACATCTCCTATGTGGAATACATATTTACGAATCCAACTTTAGTTTCGACCTTTTATCCTCACTGAAATCGTCAAAGTATATGTATAGTATATGTATATGTATAGTATAATTCAATAGACCTTCTAATATTTTAGTTGAATTGATGCAACGAAAATGAACTTTAAATATCTTTTTTGTACAATGTATTTTTGCTACTAGAAATAAAAGTCTTCGAGTATATGTTAAAATACAATGATAAGAACATACATGATAAGACTACAATTTTCCTCCAAATTACAGATTAGAAATAAATAATTATTTGATAATGGAACGACATGTATAATGATAATGTCCTCGTTACAATTTGTATTTAATTGCTCTTTTCCTCGTTTTTTACTATGTATTTGTATCTAGATCTTCGTCTCGACTTCCGTTTATGCAATTCAGTCTTTCCCCGTTTACTGACTCCTACAGATCGTTAAATTTGGTTTTTATTATTCCCACCCTTCGTTAAATATTTCTTTGGATTAAGTAAAAGAAAGATTCTCAATAAAAAAGCATCGTAATTTTGTATATAAATGTATTACATATACATATATGTAATATTATATTGAGAAACAGGGTAGTGTTAAAATACATGCAATTATAACTCGTCACATTTATGTATTTCTAGATTATATTATTGTCATAATTAAGAAAAAATAACGAGAATGTTAAGTGAAATTTATAATGTAAGATTATACCCAATTTAATTATATTATTATCAATAAACTACGTTCAATTATATTATATTACAAACTGCTAGAGTGTGGAAAAGTCATTTATAGTTTTACTATTATAAATAAATTAAGGAAAATTATTAACTCGCGTGTGTATAATTTGTATAAACGTTAATTCATCTCAAAAATAAAGATGCTAATACGAATATTATAATAAACACATAATGAAATCAGTTTATAAGTAGCATGAAAAAAAACGTTAAATAACAGATATACTTTTCTGTAACAGAACGGCTTTTACATTGGAATTTAGGATTTGGGCGCCTATAGCTCACTCCTGTAACTGGCTATGTTTGTCATTTACGTTCAATAAAAACGCGCGTGCGCTCTGCACTGGTCCAATACTACCCTCGGATATCAGAATCGCACGGGGCTAGTGCTCAATGGTAAGAGTGAATTTTCTTATCACGGTCATATTCTTCTCGATTGTGCTCATACAAAGTGATCTGTGACGTGTGGAAAATGGACGAATTTACTTGAACTACATCCTCGGCTTATTTTGCGTGAGATTGATGCTTGGTTCGACGCTGTAGAGGCGGAGACACAATCACGAAAACGAGGAAGGAAACGGAATGAAAGACTGACTGGGCATTTAACGTTGTCTCATTACTTTTGAAGGTTTCACATATATTATTTCATTTGATTTCACATGTATTTTAGTCTAAATACTCCTTTTATAACGATATCCCTCTTTCTTTTTTTGGTTCGCGGTTTTATTTCTCTCTTAATTTATTTATCTATCTAAGTTTAGGTAGATATGTACATATTTTAAAATATAGAACAATCTTTATAATTTGAAAAATCATTCTTATCTTTAATATAATTTTTATTATAGAAACTTATTGCATGTTTAATTAATCATTTGATTTATTTAGAAGAAGAAAGATTTTTATTTGGATAAAAATGACTTGCATGATAATTTATCAAAACAGATAGAAATTGTTATTTCTACAATACCTAATGATATTAATAACTCTTTGTCAATAATTTAGACAGAGAATAATTTAATTATCAATATGAATTTGACTACAGAAAATAAAAGACTCTAATTAAGAACGTTTTCTGGTGATATACAATTTGTGTCCAAACTCAGTACAGATTTTTGTTTATTATTTCATGTGTAATACTGCAATATGCGTTTATATTCAGAGAAAACATTTGAAGATCGAATTAAAATATGTATACATGCATACATAAAATATATAAAAATACAAAGAGTATAAAAAAATTAAGAAAATGTAATCCCTGTCAATATATAAGTGTACATATAGTGTTTCCTTACAATTTACATCATAAATGATGTAAAACATGCACTTCAATCCAGCTTCATTAATTTATGAATTTACAGATGAGAGCATTGGACACAATTATGAATTCAACTTGTGCTTACTGTACACTCGAACCGCCCCCCGACATTCTTCACATACCCCCACCACCGTTCCCGGCCATTCTTCAGCAAGGATCCGATTTTTATCCGAGCTCTGATATCCTGCCATTTCCACCGCATTTAAATGACAGTCCCTGCAAGCACTTCTGCGACCGACGTTCCGAAGGTGTTCAATATGTAGAAATGCCTCAACAAGGTTGGTAAAGAAGCGATTATTTTCTTTTTACACGGGAAAAGAGATGACATTTAATTTAACACGTAATTTTGATCAAACTATTTTATAGACAATTTAATATAAATAATTGGATCATGTAAATTATTATATATGTATTTTGTTTGAATTGGAAACAAGACATAAATACATATATGAATTTTTAGGGACCGTCTTTGATGACACGTGGCTCTTGATTCTAATATCTTCATGCGTCGGTGTCATTTTCATTGGCATAGTACTCGCGACGTTGCTCTTAAAATGCAAATTGTAAGTATTTCTTTACATTATGAGGAAGACTATTCTAAAACGATATACCAGTAAATATATAAGACACTAAAATACACTCAGAAACTAAAATAAATGTATATTGTTTGCGAGATTTTTTATGATTGCAACATTTAAAAAAATCACGAATAAGTAAAATATCACCAATGAATTAAAGCCAGGTCCTATTTTATTCCTACGTCACAAAAACATTACTTGACAATGAAACAATGGGGTTGTTTTTTTATAGCTGAACTGACTGCAATAGTTCAGAGTTTATCCTTTTCCTGTCACATCAGAAGAAGAAAGCTAAACTCTGAACTGGTGCAGCCAGTTCACCTATGAAGAATAGACCCAATAGTAAGCTGAGATAATTTCGGTCCAGTTTTACGATGTTTCTGGTATGTCATTGTCTTCTGCATGAGAAATGCAAAATGAAACAAATGATAAATATAATAGCAACAGAAACGGGAAAGGCGGGGTGATCTCCATGCCGAACGCAGCGTCCGGGATGCAGACGAAAAACGGCCGGCTTCAGAATGAGGCGGTGCTCTACCCTTGCGCGGCGGACACCATGCAGGACAGTCGGGTCATGTGGGCCACCCTTACCCCACGCGGGACCACGAGGCACTATCTGGAGGAGCATACGTACGAAACCATCGGGGGTGGACAGTTCCACAAGCGTGCCTGTTCGACTACACCAACCGAACATGTAAAACTCAAGGCAATCTAACAATACGTTTGTATTACACGACAACTATTTGTTTGCGCAAAGTATCCTAGAAACATTTCCCCAGTGAGCCCTTTCGTTCGCGAATATGCTTATCCATTAACATGTTTTTTTTTTCGATTAATTTCGAATTTAACTTTCCTAGCAAAGAAAAATTTTTGAGTGGCTTTGAACGTTCGTTGATGGAAAAGTAAAACTGTTAAAATTGAGGCAAAATTAAATATAATTAAATAATTAAGCAAAATAAGATTTTGTTTACCCTCGATAAATCAACTTGAAACTCCTTAAAAAATTGAAACTCGGTTTTTCAGAAAAGTCGAAACTTCTCTTTTGTTTTCAATCACTAATTATTTAAAAATCACTGGCTTGTCAACATTTTCGTCTCCAGGCACAAAAAATGGCTCAAACTTGCTCACCAGATATCTAACTTAGGATAACGAAGTGAACTTGTTCATTTTGTACATAACTCGTGTGAATATAAACTAATGGTTTTCTAGACGTACGCCGATCCACCAGCCATTACACCGGTGCAAAATCGTCCGAAGGATGACAAGGCTTTTGATAACACTGCTTTCGTAGACTACGAGGAACCATTGTCCATCAAGACTGAGTACTATCAGCTCAATGACGTTCTGGAGCCGAATGAGTCCGGTAATACAGTCTCGATCAATACAACGATGCATTTTAAGAGCACTATATTTCTTAAAACGTATCTTTTCAGCGATCATATATAACGGGTGTTATTATTTTAATTAACATTATATTAACTAAACTGTAAATTCCTTGACTTAACATTTGAATTAGCTCGATTAGAGATCAGTGTGAATTGAGGGGTAAACCGCTGAGCATTGTGGTGTTTCGGGCATTACTAGGCATTTTTGGGCATTAGTGGGTGTTGTATGGCCTAGCATTATAAAAAAATTTGAATCTCGTGTGATTTTAGGGATACTTACGATTCAGAGAGGAACTCTTCGTCCGCGCGTGAGTTCCCCTACGAGAATCGAGCACCCAAACCTACCCCCGTTGAATCTTCATCCGCACAAGCGCGCATCACGTAAGGGCTCCGGCGCGCAGCACACCTCGGACACGCTGTTGAGGAGCAGCATCACATCGTCCACTTACATACCCACCATATAAGCGTCCTCCCTTCGTCACACTTTTTTCAGGGTTCCGCCAATGAAGCCCGAGTTACGCCGTGCACCTTTTACATCCTCGTTAATATCATCGTATCTAGCCATTGTAAGCGCACGCTGACCGCCAAGTAAAAACGATGTAATCGTGAGAAATAATTCTTTTTTATCGATTGATATGACTTGTGATTGTGATTGTGTAGAACGGTAGATCGTAGACTTAATAGAATAAATGATACACGTTACATTTGCATCTTACGAAATAAAACAATGCATAGCAAAAGATGGTCCTCCGTTTATCTCCGAACTGTCCGTTCCCTGAAGTGAACGTCACGTATGTCCGTCCGCTTTGTACACGAATTTTTATCAGTCCGCAGGATCCTTGCTTTTCTTAGTATCGAAAGTTTTTGGAGTGAAAATAGAACTATTGGAGCAAATATTTACTCTATTAGAGCAAATATTTCACTCCGTGGTCCCATTTTCACTCCACAACTTTAGAGAGTCTCGTGGATTCATTGATCTGGAAAGACGAAAAGGTTTAGCTTCGCTTGAAAGGGAGAAAGGAGCGTTCTATAGTTTCAATACTTTATTCATATAATTTCGTAGTTACGGCATTATTCCTATTGTATTTACAACGTCCCCAATCTTCAGGAGAATTTTGTAATGCGTCAGTGCACGCGCACTACGGTACTCACGTGCTTGTCTGTATGTGTGTATGTGTGTGGGTGTGTGTATATTCGTGTATACTGCGTACCTCTTTCCTCCTTTTTGCAAGATTAACGCGATAATGCATCCTCGAAGCTGATGAAAGCGCTATTTCAATATTTAACCGATACGGCGAACTCAGTTCGCTTCTGCTTCAGAAACCGCGGAGGTTTCGCAGTAACAATGAAAGCATCGTACAGGTTTAATCGCTCTCCAATCGTTGTAAGGTCGCTATAATGTATAAATATAAGAATAGTCGTTTCCCTCAGCTCCGCGTGCCTCTGTAAACCATACACCGGGTGAAATGATAACGGTAATCGGTCTCTCGCGGGGCGCAGCTTATTAGGATATATACCGCTTAAAAACGCGAACGCCAACGGAACGTGACCTCTTTGCATTGACGTGTAAAAAATCTAACTGCACTGCATGCGCCTATTATCCCGTATTTTTAACGTTTCATCTATACTTCACGTAACCTGGAACAAAACGGCCGATTCTAGTATCGCCGCGGGACCGTGTTGGCGCAACGGAGGCCCCGTCCTCGCGAAGAAAAACCAAGCTGCAAGGTGTCAGTCGAGTCTACGGGAACGAAACTTGCCGGACAGATTAAAGTATCCCCCATGAGAAACTGTCACATTTTTACAAATAAATTGCGAGGGACATTGGAAAGCTGGACACCGAAAACCGGCACACGCTTCGATCTTGCGTTTTAGCTATTTATTAACGTTACAGTCGCGCACCGAAATCTGAACTCGGCAAAAATTTATATCAATTAATCCTTGCCTGGTCGTGCCTTCATAGTTCTGTATCTGTACATCGTGTTAAGCTCTGCTTCGTTTTCCTTCGCAGTGACTCATAGCCCCGATTTTGCATAACACGATCCGCTCGTCGGCGGATTTCACTCATCGACGCGAATCAGCCTCTTGCGTGCGTACACGTCTCTATTATACATACACGTGTCGTATGAAATTCGCAGTCAGCCGACAACAAAAATGTGTCCGCTTCTGTGGAACTTCGCAGGATTCATTCCCTTGTGCTATAACATGTCTCTCTCTTAGCTCGATCTCCCTCCGTTTCCAACTCTTCGTCTCGCCCACGAATATAGTTTACTATCTAATTTATAGTGCATTCATATACGTACGACTGTACAATGTAAAATATAATTCCATCTAGCTATAGCAACTCTAGATACAGCTGTGAGTGAGCGTTTGTCTCTTATCGTTTTTCACTTATTCCAGGTATTATTGGGTTGTATGTCCGTTAAACAGCGGTGACATTTCAGCAATTTTACCAGATATCGATGATAAATGAATATGCACTTCTACAGTGATCTCTAGGTTTAATTATCAAATGTTGCAACAATTTGCTTAGGATTATTTACGTCCAAAGTATTATTCTCACTGGTCGCGCTCGCATTCTTCTTAAAACTATCTTCAAAGGATTCGAAATATTTGTCAGAAGAGATACCATTTTGTTTTCACGATAACAGTAACTTCCAAAGTATCCCTCTCTTTCTTTGTAGTGTAATGAGAATAATTCTTTGAAATTTTATAGTAACAATTTTACATCTGGTTACAACCTGTTGCGACACTTGATGCACGAAGAGTTTCGAAATGCATATTCGTTTCATTAGATGAAGGCTATAAAGTTAGGATTACAAAATTCGCGATTAATTTTCGTGCGGTCTGATACCTTCGTTTTCTTCCTTACGATTCGTGTGATCGTGAAAGTTTCAATTCTTGTCGTACTACGGGTAATCGATAGCCTGCGTGAAGCGTTCGCTAGAGCCGTCAATATTCGAGCAACTTGAATAGTTTCCGTAATGACCAACAATGCACACAATACGTAACATAAACAATATCGCTATCAGTAATATTGACAGCCAAATTTTATATAGATAACAGTATAATAATAATTGTCATACTAATAACAGAGATAGTTTGACTTAAACAACTTAATCATATCTTATAATTATCGTGACGTTTCCATGGTTAATCACGCGATTTTTTTCTTATTACTTACATGATTTCCCGTTTGTTGTTAACATAAGTAATTATTTTTACCAAATTATCAAATTGTATTACTTCCTGTGGTTTTAGATGTTATCCATTATATTTCTCATTTAAATCGAATTACATTTTCGTCTTGCGTGTTTTAGAAATTGAAAATATTTTATGTCTCTCATTTCACCAAAGTATCCGCGAATGCTAGATATTTAGATAGAAGCTTTACATCACGTTTATCCGTGGTATCGTGCAAACTAAATAAACAGAACAGAGGAAGATAAATAAAAGTCAATATTAATAATTAGGTAATTACAAACGAATCCGACTGCTCCAGCGCTTGTACGCGACACATTTTTAAGTTTGACATAGTGTATTAGTTAATAGTTAGAGTAACACTGCTCACTAAATATATCTTTATAGAAGTTAATTTAGTTTAGTATAAACGTTAGTCGTCAGTACATCGAAGGATATGCAGATAGAGAATCGGAGGGCAGTGATAACAATATGTCTAGAGTGTCTGGTTGATAAAGAGTGTTCCCCTTTAAGCGGGAAGGAGCACGGAAAGAAGAAAGATTTTTCTTAATGACGGAAATTTTCGCACGAAGGTCACCATTGATATGGGGGAACAGCAAGCGCAGTTTCTGCTTTAGTTTCGCAAGAAATATCGATCACCTAAAAACCAATCGATTATCAACGCACGTATACGAGATTGAAGAAAGCTTCTTTTTACACGAAATATCGTTGTTGAGGTATCGTTAAAACTGCCCACACACGCAAGGTTCAGCCACATAAATATATGTACAAAATTCACACGTCGATTTGCTTATCCATAAATGACTCTGAGAGTTGGGATGAGACGAGACAGGGGGGGGGGGGTTGGGGGTGAACGATTGCAAGTTTCGCGAAGACGAGAGAGTTAAGATTTATTGTGTCTCGTTAAGCGTAAAAACGACCCGCGCAAAATGCGGACCGCGATGATCAGCACTTTCTTTTTGCCTCAATAATGGATCTGAGCTTTTGTGCGATTGAAGATTAAAGAAGCTTATTCGAAGCGTCAGCTTGCAGGATTGTATGTACGTAGCGCTGAATCTATCGGCATACCGTAATCTCGTCAGAGATTAACTTACTCGTCAGATATAGAGATACGGACCAATTTGAAAAATTAGATCTACCTCAAGTCTCTAATTTTAATAAAATTCTCAATAGATTGTAAATCTGTGAATTGAGCTAAAGCAGAACGTCACTTGATAGAGAGTACTCGATAGAGGGATCAAACTCTCGGAAAAAATCGCACTCAGCAAATACCTATCGCTGCTAATAGTCAGTAATCGATTAATCCCGTTTGATCGCGTTAATTGTTCTTCCCTGAGGATTGTTACTTCGAGATACATGCGTAATCGACTTGTTAATCATATCTGTTATTTCACCGCTAAGAGAAACGGCGAATAAGCTATATAGATACAGAGAGAGAGAGAGAGAGAGAGAGAGAGAGAGAGAGGGGGAGAGAAAGAGAGAAAGAGAGAGAAAGAGAGAGAAGCTATAGATACTAGCAACCGATTTCAAGATCTCGTAGAACAGCGGATCTAAAGAAGGACGATTCTCTTGTAGGAAAAGTGCAGAAGGAGGATCACGACTTACAAAATATTCGAGAGCACTTTATAACAATCGGACGTTTTTCTTTCGCCTTGGATTAATCGCCGAGGGACAGTCTCGACCAGCGATGGGCAAAGTACTATTTCCATCTTCATATATTAGAGGTAGCTCGCTTCATTGACAATGCCTATCGATCTATCGTATTATTCTGCCAATACAAAATATTGGAGGTATCACGCAAGAATAACGAGCTCTCCTATTCTTTTCTTATACGAGAACATGAAGGAATCTTCAACAAATTTCTTGGAATGAGTAGTGCATCGAAAACCATACATGCTCTATGGGAGTCGGCAAACCTGTTTTGCAAATCAAGAGAAGACGGGAATTACAGGAGCTGTAGATCTTTATGTGTAACCGTAAATCGTGTTCATTTAAATAGCTTTCAACCCGATAGAATATCTCTCCGTATGATGTATCATTAGGCAATAATCGAATGAACATTTATACGCTTCTCGAGCAAGTGTGCAGAAAACTGTAAGAAATATTTAAAAGATGTATATTCTCGTTTCTTTTGGGAACATCCCCTAGTATTTTACTCATCCCTGGCGTGTGAAGATGCGTTTGAACGACAATTTGCACACGCTCTCTTCCGTTCCGTTCGCCCATTGAAGATCCGTTTTTCAAGTATTTTTTACGCTTTCCATAGTTGAAACGGAAGAGGACAGGCGTAAAAAAATGTAATTGAAAAAGAACAGGATCTCCCATGTATGCGGAGAGTTGTCACGAGCGCTCGAGAGTTAGGCGCGGAGCAGCGCTTCGGGAATGAAACATGCCGCTGCGCTTTATACCAGCCCGTTTAATTATTTATTGCTTCTTTATCTGCGACAAGCGTCGCCTTGTGGCTCGTTATTACTATTAACCATGTTAATTGTCAGCCGCCTTAATAGAAACGATCGAATTTTGTTACCGCGAAACAATTACCACGCATAGTAATTACAAGAAAGTAAAAACAAGCGTCATTAATTTTTTCTCAAAGACTACTATATTTATCAGTTCGAGTTAGATAAAATGTTTAATTAGATGAAATTGATAAAAACTGATTAGTTTTTAAAGTTTTTTTAGTTTCTTAAATAATTTAATACTATTTATCGTATAAAAATTAAGTTATCTGACAATCGTAAATTATCCCGTGTCTCTTTTTGAAAATATGTATTATTGTTATTAATATTACGCCTATTATAAATTGTAAATTATTTCTCTGTTTCCTATAAACTGAACATTTTCGCTAATCGTGTTAAAGATTATCTAATAACAATAATATTAATTACGTTTCACTTTACATAAAAGCGCACGTCTTTATAAATCATTTTTTAAAACATTGCTGGTAATGTTAACCATGTAAATGATCGATTACATTAATACAACCTAATATGGGGGGATAATAAATTGTCTTTCGACCCTCAACATGTCTCGTTTGATTTTGGCTTCACAGAATAGGTTTTAAAAAATCTTTATTATCGTCAACTACGTCAACGATTAACCTTGTTAATAGTAATACTAAGTTAACAACATACAGCTATATACAGGATGCACCAAAGTACCGCTAGTACCCTCGTCTATAAATTCCCTCATCAATTTGGAATCTTGGATTCTCTTCTAATGGAGATGACATCATTACGATGCCGATCGAAGGATTTTATCGAAGAGTTTACAGCCGAGAAGAAACGACGCGCGATACCTAGGTCGACCTGTATAAAAACGAGCGTATCGTGAATCTCAATTAGGAGGAGACGATGCAATTTGGTAGAAACGACTCGGTGCACTTGCGATGCGCAATCATGCTCGACGTGATTATACGACTCGGTCAAACGTCACCTAACTCGTACTGGCAATACTGCATTCACACACCCTGTATTTATGTATAAGCATATTTGCGTATGCTATATAAATCACCTATTTGTCAAGTTTGTCCTTTCTCTCCGATTACTTACAAATACTTTCCATATGTATAAGAGTCACTTGCGTACAATCTCGCTTGAAACGCATTCGAGTGCGCAATATACGTGAACGAGGAATATCGAGGTAATTAGAGTAATCTATTCTTTTGCAAATAAAATTAATAGAAACCTTCCGTGCAACGAAATCGTTCCTCGATATCGCAAAGTTATGATAGAGAAATGCTAAGATTGTGGCCACGATCAGTAATTCGTTTAAAAATATAAAGTGCGATAGAGACAATTAATATATATTTTTATGCAAATTTTCTTGATGAATTTGTAGGTATGACATTCCTCATTAAATGTATTTCACACTCGAATCTTTCGAGAACGAAACTCTCATAATATGTGTGTCATGTCACTCTTCGCTCAAAACAGACTTTAATAAAATCTATTTAATCCGTCAAACAATTTATACACGCATAACATAATCGATAAGTATGTATGTGTCATATACATATATATTATCTGTTCACTTTTCTATACAATAATGAATGAATAGGATAGAATGCGATCATTCGATCACAATGTTTTCGTCCCTAATGTTTCACTTCCAACATCTTGCTCTCATAAATAGCACGTCGAAAATAAAACGCAATTCGAAATTTTGCTATCGTAACCCTACATATGTATAAATAATAAATATTTCAATATCTTATCAATGTATCAGAATTAACAAAATTTATTTCAGGGGTATCACATTTTCCTACTTACCTTGTAATTTTTCATATTTATGAACATAAATATATCTAATTGTACACAAAATTCTAATTAAACGACATATTTTTCAGGTAAAATATAATCCTGTAAAAAAAAGGTTCCTTCTTCTCTATGCAGATCTTTATATTTTAAATCAATGAATCTGCATGAGTCATATCTACATTCTGTATATATAAAATTAATAATATTATCCAACACAACACACTTCCCTTTACTACAGATTATTAATATCTCCGGGCTTTTATAACATTCATAAAATCTTACAGTAATAAACAATATGAAACATTTATGCACGATTTATTTAGTGTCTTACTTAAAGTATCGTTCTTTTTATTTAAAAAATCGTACCAATCACTCTCAAACGTTTTATTAGAATTCTTAATGGATAGATAATTTAACTATAAAATGGGGGATAAATAGAACGATTATTATATAAATTTAAAATTAATCTTTTTTCCGACGTGCTTGAGAACGATCTAATGTTGCACTCACAGAGACGATGTTGGAAGTAAAATCTGTAAAACAAGAAAAATAGCCTGCCTACATCCGTGCAAGTTGCTTCCTAAAATTCGTCCGAATCAGTCACTCTTAATATCACCTTCAACGCTCTTTTCTTTTTAATTAATTCCTACGATTAATTCCACGATCTTCGCGTCCATTTGTCCTCTTCGTTCCTCGCGGGAAAATCATATTAGACCGAGGCAGAAAACTGCCTCATATTGAACACGAATGCTGATCTTCCGATCGCGTGCCTATTAGATATTAATTGTTCTGAGATTTCGTGTCGAGGAAACAAGAGGAACGGCGCTGGATCGTTAATCGGCACCTCGCGACTCGCTGGCTCTCTTTACGAGCGAGCAGCTCGACGGATCTTCCTAAGTGCGATCAACTTCGCTCCAATTTGCATTAGAATTAAAGAAAAGTTTCATACATTTTCAAGATAACGTAGTCCCCGTTTCTTTTCCTCGAAGAATAAACATGTTTCTTCCCTCTAGATGTGTGACCTATCGATCCTGATCTTAAAGTTCTTAGAAAACATATTTTGTCAAGAATACCTGATCGTCTCTCATGCATTGTGTCCCTTTTCGTACAGGAGGGTACGAGAGGATGTTTACTAAATCGTGATTTTTTCTTACACTGGTCCTCCCGTAAGCTATCACGAGGATTTTCCAAACGTACCCTTTCTCCTAGCAGCCGGGAGATCGTCTTCACACGTGCAACTGCGTCGTGTTCGCCATTGATCGGATTTCACGTAGCATCTCCATGTATATCCTTTACCGCGCGACGAGCAATTCGAGGAAGATTCTCCCGGCGAATACTCGATCGCTTTTCGCGCTACACCGGAATACAGATCCTCAGACTCTCGGGACTCGATTAATATTTAACAGATGAAGGTCCTCCCCGAGAATGCCCCGATTAGCAAGCGCATTTTTTCCCGCACACCTGCGCGAAGAACCGTCTCGCTCACTCCTCTCTGCCTGCCTCCATCCTCGATCCTTCCCTACGACGAAAGGTGACGTTCTTGGGCCACGTACTTGGCCCTCTGTACACAAACTTCGAGCACAAGGCAATGTCCTGCCCCCTGTGGACGCCCCCCTTTACACGTACCACTCTTTAATGTCTATCAGTTCTCGCTTCTTATTGTTTTTGCTGCCGTTGGCGCCGTTCTTCAGGGCGCCGTTGAAGGGCTGGCCGGAGCCCGCGGCGCCCAGCAGGGCCGCGTTCGGGTCCTGGCAGAACGTCTTCGTCTCGTCCACCTTGTAGCTCGTCTCCGGCCGGTTCTTGAACTTGAGAATTATCAGGATGATCAGAACTATCGCTATCAGCGCGGCGGCTATGATGCCGATTATAAGGGCGGCGTTCTCGGCCGCCTCGGACGTGATCCGCTTATTGTTGTTGTTCTTGGGCGGAGTGGGCATCGGCGGGTACGCCGGTGGCGGAGGCGGCGGCGGCGGCTCCGTCATTTCCGACGTGGTCGTCTGCGTCGTCACGGTTGTCGACCGATGCGTCACGACGCTGCTGCAAAGCGACGAATGTTTAATTTTTTTTTGCCATCATTCGCTTACGGACGAGTCGCAGTTTTAACCAGCACCGCGGCCTCCCATCGTTGCCGCACGTCAGCGGCATTTACCTCATTCAGGCGCGCGATAATAAGTCGTTAAATTTTACAACTCTGAATTTTTTTAGATCTGCGTCGATTCGCGTTTATTTTTAAGGGGCAAATTGAGGGCCTGTTAATCGAACCCCATCTCGTTAATGATGCCAGCAATATTGAGGGACTTCTCCAATATGCAACGCTAGGGGAAAGCTTTTAAAGTATTCTATGAATACCATGGACACGCTGTCATCAATTCATCAGGTGATAATTTAGACCGCACGTTCCACGTGATCATTACATTCCGGTAGAAAACGAACGGCGATTCTCCGCGGTTGCGAAAAACGTACGGCAGAAGCCCCCACCGTAATCGGCTAATCGATGCTGCATGAACGATCGCGCGAATGATTATCTGGCGTTCAGTTGCGAACGTTATCGGCGACAGACGCACGCACCTGCTATGGCTGGTCTCGAGGTCTGTGGTTGACACATTGTATTGGACGGAGACGGTGACGACGTCGCGGCTCAACGTTGTCGACGACGCCGACGTCGTCTGGGTGCTGATATGGCTCGTCGAGTACTCGCGGGGCGTCGTGTACGTCACCGAGCTGATATCTGTGACAGAAAGCGAGAGGGTGAAAAAAAAGTGCGTCGGGGGGTGCTGCTTCGCCTCGTACCGTTCGCGCGGAGGGGGTGACGCGGGAGGAGGGCGGGAGAGGAGGCGCAGGAGGAAGCAGGGTGGTGAGAGCGCGCGGAGGGAAAGCGAGAGGGATGCGAAACGTGCGGAGGCGGCAATATTTACGCGTGCGTAGGCCGGCAAGTATTCACGCGTGCGTAAGCAGGAACGTTACGTTGCCGAGCGTATCCCTGGGGCGTCAGGAACGTATCGTATAATACAACGTGCGTTCGAGAGGGTGGCGTTCACAAGATCGATTTATCTGCCTCGTCTATCAATTTTGCCGGGGACAAAAATGGTCTTTTACACGCCGCGGCTCGCGTTTCGAGCGTTTAGCACGCGCGCGGTCTCGGATTTCCGATGCTGGACGCTGGCCGCCTGCCGCTGCGTTTCTTCTACAACGAGATCCACCAACGACATTTCCCGAGGCAACAATTAGGTCTCTCTGAGACTTCTAACATCTGTACGTGACACGGATTTATTGCCCGGTGTAAAAAAGTTCATTATCTCTCCCGACATCTAGCGATAAGTCATTTTGATAAGTTGCCGCTTGTACCATATGTTTGTACTATCTGTTGCCTTGCAACGAGGAAACTTAGAAATGCGTTACTTTCGGTATCGGACTCGAGGATCTCTTGGGGTTTGAACGCCGTCGAGGCGTTTGGCTTGGACGTTGACTTTTAAACAATTATGCACAGACACGCACTTGATATCAGCAAGACTAGAGTACTATTTCACAATCACGCGTTAAAATTGTTGATTACAATCCGTAAACGTACATGTAAAAGGAAGTATCAGCGCAATGAAGAATCCTCTGCGAATGTGAAACGCGACAGAAAGTTTCGGATTTCAAAGATGCTTCACGCGATTCTACGTACGGGCGAAATTAAGGACAGGGTGTCCGGTTTGACGTCGTGACTCGACGGGGCGAATGTTATTACTGGAAGGAATGTCGCCCCCGGCAACAGGGTGGTGCTATTTTCATGGTAGGCGACGGCTGGTGCGCGCGTCACAAAAAGTTGTCACGAACACGAAGAAGACGCCCACGTCGTGTTTCCGTAACGAAGGATTCTTTATATTTAAAGTTGATAAACGGGAGCGATAAGATTGATTGACGCGATCGACGCTCGTCTACGCCATATGGCGAGTTTTCTACGCTAAATACATGGGATTAATTTATACAGGGTGCTGAAAAAAGGTGGTATCAATTTTAGGAGTAGAGAAAAGTCCCCTATTATAAGATAGCCTCCTAATATGAAACAGCGGGGTTTCTGTTAAATTAATGGGCATCGTTCGTTAATTCCGCCATGAATTTATTACCCTTGGAGCGTAAATCTTAATGGAAGATTGATTGTTAGATTGTGTAATCGTGGCGAAAAGAGATTTGTGACTGAATTTGGGTGTTGAAAACCTGCCATCTCATAATAGAGGACCTTCCTCTATGTATTATAACACTCGTAAAATCAAACCAAAAAGTCTGAACAAGCATTTTGGAGTGTCCCATAAGTAATTCAAGATGTTTCGAAGTGTTTAGAGCGAAGGTGGGTGAGAGACTGGGGGCGGATGATATTGTGCTTGGGTGGATAATAGGCTCTCGGGCACATAAAATATCTAGCTATAGATTGAATTCACTTTATATTTATACCGGCAGAGAAATGCTTTTTATAACTTGAAAATAAATAGGTTTTCGAGTACTGTAGTGGTTTCACGAGTACCATACGCATAAAATTCGATACCATTTTTTTCAACGTCCTGCATGTAGAATATTAAATTTTTTAAGATATTTCGAAGCGATTTTTGGGAAAATAAGTTCTTCACGATTGCGTCTCGTCGTCCTCGGAATTTAACGAGGAGAATTTGTAAAACGTTAGTTTTAACCGCTGTCTGCTAGAAGAAAGATACAAATCATTAGGCAGGACGATATTCATGAAATACGGACCAGTGGCCGAGGTGACGAAAATCTCTTCCGTTGTTCTGGGATCGCCGGAGCCTTCTTCACAGTCTTCCTCGTCGTCGCAGGATGGGCGCTCTTGAATATTTTCCTTGTGCAGCTTCGGCCTCAATGTTGTTGGCAATCGTGTGGGCGCCACGTATACTGGCGTGATGATGTCATCTGGAAATAGAAGCGACGTAATTATTAAGCTGTACGCACGATCCAAACGTATAATACAATAGAGAGAATAATTACACATGTAGTAAAATTTCGTATTCTGCACCGTACCCCTGCTTAAATAATAATTGCAAATACTTCTTGTCTGACTCGATCAAAATTGTACTTACGTAGTTCGGATAATAATATAAAATGTCTAATAGTTATTTTTAACATTTGATGAATTCAACTGAAATGTTCACGAAACGTCAGAATCAGATAAAAAATGTGTGCGACTCAAATCCGGAAGTCAAATCTAATAACAGTTTATTATTAGCTGACGCTTGCACCGTTTAATTACAAACCGTCCGAGAAGAGAGAATAATTGTGTTATAAAGAGTAAAGCCGTAAAAAGTAATGATTCAAAGCATAAATCCTTTTTGAGAAATCTGCAATAATTGGATCGCGAAATTTCGCGATACGCGCCGCGTCGCAGAGGCGCGTACGACCGGGCGTAACGTTTAGCCATTCAACAGTAGTTATCGCATCTCATTAATAAGTAATGATATCAATATAGTTTTTAGCTAGTCGGAGAAGATTTCGGAGCGGGGCCTCAGTTCGTCGCAAGAGGTTTGTTGGAGAGAGAAAGAGGAGGAAGCTATCAGGCTTTATTTCTCCGGCCGGCAAATATGTAAATGAATCGAAGATACAACCGGGCGAGCATGAAGACGAAAAGGTGGCCATGCCATGCGATACGTGCGACGTTGAGTGTGTATGTGATGCGTAAGTGTATAACGGGGACGCCCTTCCTCACGTGACGCGATGCGTGCGGAGGAAAAAGTCGATATCAATGACAGCCAAAGAAGAATTTGCGTACAGAATGTAATCAGCCAAGGCGATCAATTTAATCAGCACGTTTATTGCTTAATTTAATTTCAATTTATTTTCTTATTTTAATTAGACGTGCAGTACAGGAACAGAAAAATTGCGTATATTATTAAAAAGCTATCATTAGATTTTGAAAATATAGCCTGCACTTTTTGCAACTAAAGAGAGCTTTCAATTACAATTAGATATAAATTGAAAATAATTTTACAATTAAGTACCGCGTATAAAATGATAAAACATGCGGATATACTTCGGAAGATGATCGAAAAGAGAAATTGCCGTCGGAATCGTCGCGAGATGGGCATTTAAAATAATACTTCGTCAAAAACGTGCGATGAAAAATACAGTGACATTCGTGAATACGAGATGCGCTCGAGGTTGAGACGAAATTGCGCAGCAAGACACGGGCACGTAGAGATGGAATACCCTCGCGGGGAAAACGTGCAGAATAGATTACTTACGCCTTCGGAAATATTACTTACACTTACCGGAACCTGACTCGTAGATCGGAGTGCACTCCTCGTCCTCATCATCGCCGGAGCAACCACTTCCGGCGCCAGAGAAAATGAGGTCGTCCATGACGCCGGGGAAACCGGACGCTGGCGTCTGCAAATTAAATTGATTAAACGGCCATTGAAATTGCCGCGCAGATTTACTAATTGGATTAGCTCTAAGGACACACCTGTTGCATTCTTTGTAGCGGCGGGGCACGATCTAGAAGACTTCCGGCCGGCAGAAGCTGCGCGTCTCCTCTGGCTGTAACTTTGCCGTCTTTCGCCGCCGTCAATTCTAAAATCCTGGCACCGTTGACGACCAGTCCAGCTATTACGCCCAGAAATGGACGTTCCACTCTGCCCTTGCTGCGATTCCATCTGCCGCCTACTTGAATAGTGGACTGGCTGTTGAACACCGTCAGTTGATGACCTGTCGAGAGATACACAAACCCTGACTTTAATTTTCTCGAATTTTTGTCGCCGTTAACGATCAACTTATTAATGTATATTAACGTGTCAGTGTGTCTCGACACTCGCATTGACACTGTAATGCATTTTCATTGTCGCTACTATTTTTAGTTACGTGGTGTTTATTGATGAAATAGAGCGTTACGCGTCAGCATTAATCTTTATTTAAAATAATCTCAGGATCGATCATGTCTTTTCACAAGTTCACGCTAGAGAAAAAGATCGATCGAGCCCCAGAAATCTGCCGTATGTAGCGTGACAAGTATATTATAGACTTGTGACAGAAACCTAACCTCCATTAGCCACGTGGTGTGACAGTAAGTCACAGGTCCAGTATGTTAAAAAATTATACTAACATTTGTTAATTTGAAATGACCAGCGCGACACGGAACTTGGAAAATTTTGCGCCGAGTCACAACGTAGACGTTTCCTATCTCATTGCTCAGCAACTGAAGTGGCCAAAGTGGATGGTAACCACGATTTTAAGAGAAACCAAGAAAAGAATTATTTATTTTTCTAATAGATTTATTAGGCCGGACTCAACGGCACTGCAAAGCCGAGTCGACCCGCGGCAGAGCCAGAGCTAGCTCCGAACGTCCGCCCTTGTTCAAAAAGCAGTTTAATATTCTGAGTCCCCTATGGGGACTGTATCAGATATTAAGCTGATAAGAACAGATACTACACATTTGATCTTAGCTCAAAGAGCCGAGAAGCGATACCATGCTAGCTTTCTTGCTGGTTTATATACTGTGCTACACCGAATTTTAAATACGAGAAAATGCGAAACCTAGCGACGAAACGTGGAACTACCCAGGAGCGCTCGATAGCTCCACTTGTCTCCCCACCACTTCTCCAATTCCCTACCACTTCCCCAATTCCTTTCCACTTCTAGTCGAAACACATGGCATTTTTACATATGTGACTCCAGGATCCTACATATTTTACATATGTGACTCCAGGATCCTATTTTTGTTAAAAAAAAGAGTTCATTCGCAATATAGCAAATTCTTGATTCAATGGATCTAGGTATGACAGATTTCTGGTTTAACCTTTAACGGAAGTGTGTGCAAGTAATATTATACACAATACATTAATATAAATTAATAATTTTCTTATAGAAATTAAAAATTAAAAATAAAAAATTCACATTCAACTGCTTGCACTTTATAACCATTTACAAGCTTCCATCTCTATTCCCTTCGGATATTGATTAAAAACTACTGTACTGCTACCACTATTATAATTTAATAATTTTATATTGTGCAGCATTGTATTGTATATTATTAAAGCTTTACTTTTACGTTAAAAATAATTAAAAGATTTAACGAGCGTTCGATTTAACGAGCCTCCGACATTAACGGACGTCGCACGCACTGCAACTTATAGCGTTTTTTATTTTCTGACTCG